GCACGTTCCCAGCTAGAGCCTTAGCTTTCCTGCCTGAGGTTGAGGGTCACAAAACCCTGGTCCAGGTCATTTTTATTGGACAGATAATGCCCTTTTTATTTAAAAAGTTTTATTTTGAGATCACTGTCATATGGACTTTTGATCCTGTACTCACTGAGGTCGTGAAACCAGGGGTCAGCCATCATCAATGAGACCGCCCTGCTCGAAGGGGCCCTACAGGCAGGAGGGTGAGGCAGGGTGCATAGGTTCCAGGCGGGACCGCCTGAGCGCCTGGGCCCCCACTGGGCCACTCCGCAGTGTCCACATCCCTTAACTCTCTGACCTGACACCCTGGGAGGCCCGTGGACTCGCATCAGGTTATGTCACTCCCAGGACTGTCGATAACGCACCAGGAAGGAGTTCTAAAGCCAGAGTCATCTTTACTACAAGGTGGTCTGACGAGGGGCTCCCCCCGCACCCCCAGTGCGCTTACATCAGCCAAGAAGTTCTAGCACTGTACGGGGCTAGTCTGGTGTCAGTGTGCACCTAGACGGACATGAGGAACGACCAGCCTGGGCAGGTGCTCCTAACCGCAGAGCATTAAGAGGAGAAAACTCACACACAGGATGACTGACCACGGACTCTGACCAAGAGGAGTGTCAGCTGTGCAGTGCCACCTTCAGAGGCTCCTCTGGCCTGTGTGAGGTTTCTTCATGATGCGGGGAGCAAGCAGTTTCAGGGAAAGACAAAGGTACAGGTCTGGCGGGGTGAGGGGGGCGGTCCCACTTACCTGCTCTCGTCTTCGATTTTGAGGAACGGAGCCTTCAGTCTGGCCACTGGAAAGGACGCACACATTAGCCCGCTCTGCACACGGGGTGCTCAGGGGCCCGGCGCCCACTCACACCTCCTCTGGCCTCTACCCTGGGAGGAGGAGTTCTACCACTGGAGGGAGGATAAGGGTGTCCCAGGACGCTCACTGGAATGCAGGCCTCCCTGGGTATGGATTCTGGAACTGTTCACTGACCACCAGAAAGCAGGCTGGCTGGGAGAAAGCCCAGCCTCCATTGGCTAGGCTAAAAGCCAAAGGCTTCTCAGACTTTCCTCCTGGAATCTCAGAATCCTGATGGGCCTGAGGACACACCTCAGACAGGGTTCTGTGTGAGGACTTGGATTTTTAGAGGGGGGTGGAAAGAGAATTAGTGTTTAGAGAGCCAGACAGAAGGACAGGAAAACACATGAAGGGTGAATCTGGCCCCTGAGAAAATAGGGCAAAGAGATACTGGGAAGACAGACTTGGAGTCAATTAATCAAGAGGCTCCCCTCTTGCCCCACAAGGGTGTTACCTGCAAGCCTACAAAAGCTCTCAGGCACCGAGAACCACATCTCTATTTCCCGTGGTCACCAGAGTCCTGTCAGACGGGCAGCTGAGGCAGGCCGAAGCCAGCCAGAACTAACAGCCACCAAATCCCCAAAGAGCTGGCACCACACAGCTCCCAGACCCCCACGAGGCTGCTGCTAGCACCCCAGCGAAAACCAGCTTATTTCCTTGAGCAGCAGCTCCCATTAATTACTTTTTGGGGGTGCTTTTTTGACTTTCTAATTAACTGACAGTGATTAAAATCAATTCCCCCACAGATTTCCTTGGATTTTGAACATGAGAGGTGCCAAGTGACTTTTCTTAGCTTCTGCTTGTACACGAATAAATGCCACTGAAAGAGCATCTTTGGGAGAAACATCCAGGGGGGGAATCTCTCCTGCTGTCCAAGAGGAGCCAGGAGACGAGTCTGTCAATCTGCCTGTTTGTCAATTTCAGGGAGTTTGGCATTTCCGAAAGTGGTAGGCAGCTGTCAAACTGCCCACCCCAAACTGCTCCTGAATCAGAGGGAAAGGATGCTGAACTTCAGTACATGCCCAGGGATGGCTAGAGGATGGAGCCAGGAGACCACCTGGGGTCTTGGCGCTGAGCAGAAGCCCCAGCCGGCAGCTCTGGATTTGCTCTGGGACGCAATTCTCAAAGCCCAAGCCCTGGAGACGCCACGGGGCAGCACAGCCTGGACCCACTTCCTGCCACAGAAAAGTGAGCAGACGCTGCCACAGAGGGAGCCGCGGGGCAGCGTTTAGGGAGGGAGGGACTGCAATTAGATGAGGAAAACTACCACACTGACCTTTCCGCGTTCTTGACTCTGCTGCTGGACCTGTTCCCTAAATGGGAGGGAAAAATAGGCTAAGATGTGAGGGAGCCGGGAGCCAGCAAATGGCCCCCAGGAGCAGGTCGCCGTGAGTCTGGCCCACTTGCGTCCTGTCGCCTGCCGGGCCTAAGCTAAAGCAGACCGAGCAGTGACACACTTGCCGCCCCCGGGACCTGGCTCGCGGAGCACTGTGCGGGTGTCTCACGCGGCTGCCTTTGTGGCGGCCCGCAGGATGGAGCCGGAGCCGCAGCGGCCCGCAGCCCTGAGCTGCCCCAGCGCGGGCAGCACCCAGCCGCCTCGCCAGTGTGGCGACCTGGCGCGGAGCAGGCACGCTCACTGGCAGCCTGCGTCGCCTGGGCCCTGCCACCATTCCAGGTCGGCCGGCAGGACCGTCCTATATGCTTCCCTGCGCCCTATCCTGCTGTGCCTGGGCTCCTTTGGGCAAACCAACATTTAGGCCAAGGTCAAGCAAAGTTAATGTTAAAGACAAAGTGGAACAAACTGAAAAATCGGTGTAAGAGTTGGGGGTCGGGGGTGGGACTTGATGCCGAGGCTGTGTACCTAAGTTCCAGATTCCCTTGCAGGTCATACCTCCAGGGCAAACCCAAAGCCTTCATATTCTCTCAAGTTATCAGCAGACTACACCTAGAACTCACTCCCAAAGACTCCCAAGTACCTACAAAATAGACTACTAAGTGAACAAAGCAAAGTAAAAATAAAAGGGGGGCATTTTGGGCATGTATGTTTGTATATGCCTGGAGTCCTGGAAAAATACCTGAGAAACTAGTCACATCGCTCATCTCAGGCAGGGAGCTTGGTGGCTACAGAACAGAAATCAGAGGGGAGCCTTTCAGTGTCTACCCTTTTGTATTATGGGAAGTGCAAATTAATTCTGCAGCAGCAGCAAAAGCCCACAGACCGCCAGGCCAGAGGGTGTGCGTGAGGTGCCGATGAGCGAACCATCTGATTCACATGTGCTTTGCGCTACTGTTGGTCCTGCTCCTGGGTGCCAGGCCCCAGGGGGACCTGCAGGCTCAAGCTTTCCTCAGACTTAGGCCGGGTGAAGACCTTAAAGTTGTAAGTCAGCTGGGGCTCTCCTGACATGGCTCATCGTCCTGACTCAGCAAAGGCAGGAGAAGTCAAGTAAGAATTTGGGATACTGCAACTATTTCACCCCATGATATGCCCACTCCTGCCCATGCAGGTTTGTGCCCTGGCACAGTCACCCCAGAGCGGCCGCCTGGCCAGCAGGCTTTCCCCTTATGCAGCAGGATGACCTACCTCTGGCTTCTGTGGTCCTTGTTTCTTTACACAAAAAGCATCAAGAGTCAGCTGCTGCACATGCATCATCATTTCTGTGGAGAAAACAGAGGACTGAGGCCAAAGGCTTCCACTCCTCAGTGGTGTACCAACCCCTTCCAGGGCTGGAGAATGCACCTCTCCCGGGCCGGCTGGCCTGCTCACTCCAGCCTTGCCTGCCACCTTCTGGCTACGAGTCACCTCTGCACCTCCTGGCTCGGTCTGCTGCCCCAGAAAAGCACTAAAGCTGGCTTCATCCTCTTTTGTGGCACTGACTACAACTCAGTTTTGAGCAGAAGGTACCTGATGGCTCACGAAGGGCTTTGAGGTAGTATTGCTGGAGAGCTGTTTCTGTGCAAAGACCAAGTCATATGATTATTCGGATGTAGCCTGAGGTGAAGACCTGGCAGGGGCTGCACATGTTGGAGTTAACTGGTCGATTTTCCAGTGATGACGGCTCCCTGGCCAGGGCCTCTGAGCAGTTCTCCTTTCCCTGGCGGTCTCAGACCAAAGGCTGGAGCACCCTGGCCAGCACCGGAGCTGTCCCTTCAGTCCAGTCAGCTCCTCGTGGAGCAGGGTACGAGGCCAGCCACTGCCAGCGATCCGGGACAGCTGCTCCAGCGTACCTGGCTCAGGGCCTGCACTCCAGTGGCTGGGGCAAGAGCAACCCCACAGAGAAGAAGGTGAAATTTAACCAGACCAACTAGTTTGGAATGTGGGTCACGCTGCCCACTGATGATGAGATTATGGATGATTTATATAGTATGAGGTTCAGTTTCATCTGTACAAGGGGGAGAGGGCTGTGATGAGGAGTAAATGAGCTAAGTCCACGCATGGAGTAAATACCCGACAGGTAGTCAGGGACACTAGGTCATCTCCTTACTGCATCACACCAGTCTGAGCAGGCCAAGCAGAACCGCACTGCGGGGTAGCACTCTGCTAGGTCACTGCTGGTCTCTGGACCCTCCAGTTTTATGGCTCAACATGGTAACAGTGCACTAGCTTCCAGCCACCAGAAGTGCCACAGCAAGGCTACGCCCTCCTCCCCCCACCCCCCCAGGAACACAGGGCAGAACCAGTACCATCCACATGCAGAATCCTCACACCCCAGGAACGGGCATTGGTCAGAAGGCTGCTGCTCCCGCTGCCTCCCCCGCTGCTGCTCCCCTGGAAAGATGAAGTAGAATGAAGCAGGGGCATAAGACTCCCCAAGACCCAGATACTAAGGGGACAGGCTGTCCTGGTTTCTGGGAGCTCTGGGTCACCTACACAGGGGATGTGGTGGGGAGGCAGGCAGGAGGGAGGGGGTGCCATGCCTGGAGAATCTACCCCAAGTCCAAGGAAGACCCCACCTTCCCCTGGGCTGTCACATCAGGATTTGTGATCCGCCTCTATGCTCTACTCAGATACCTCATGACCGGGAAGGAACACATGCCTTCAGGCACTGTTTGCAAGGGGGGCTGGAGGGGCCTTGGAGAGACCTCCCCAGCATCTACCAGCAACCACCATCATCACCAAGCAGGAAACTTCTGGGCCTGGGTCCAGTAACACCAACCTCCCTCATCATGGCCAATGCATGCCCACCTGGACATCACCTTAACAATGCCTCCTCCCACTTAACTGTAATGGCCCTGGATTCTCACACAAGGAAGAAACAGCTACTTGTAAAGATACAAAGTCTGAT